ATTGAGGTGGTTAACCTGGTGTGTAGGATGACAAAAGAGCCCTTGGTTCCCACGGGCATCGCGTGCGTCTGATTCGAAGAGCAATTTGTTCTCCCGTCTATTCCGAGGCAATTCTTCGGGAGCTGTCCCAGTGATAGCTAGCCAGAATGAAAGTTTCAGTCTGTCTCCGGATCCCTTTTCCCCTCCCACTCCCAGTAGGTCGACTTTCTAACGTTATTAGCGCAGACGCTCGGCTCGTTAGTTAGGAATTCTGGCTTTTCCTCAAGGCACCCTCTCGTAAAAACGAGCGAGCTTTTTCAGTGGAGATTTTAAATCTATCTTTAGAAGAAGTCGTAAAAAAAGCACAATCCAGCGCTGGGGCGGTTTGTCTTGCCCCAAGTCCTTTTAGATGGGAGGAAAAGGGATATCTATATGCAGGGGTGGCTCCCACCCACCCCAAAACTGACCCACGAAGTCTTTTAAGTCAGAACTGTCCTCTGTCTAGTGCCGTGTGTGCAGAAGTACGCAAGGCAAGTATGCAAGGCTATACGTGTCTCTCTCTCTCGAGGCCGAAGAGGATTTATGAAGCTTGTAAGGGAGGAAAGCTGCGTCCTCCACCCAATGCAAGCCACAAGAGCATCTTTGGGTCACAACCTCTGGGAAAAAAAAAATTCCCCTGCACAAATTCGGCATAGGAATGTCCATTCCTCTGATTGAGTTTAGCGCTGGGGAGTGTCGTATCCATCTGGGAGAGGGACTTGATAGTTTTCTGATGGACTTTTCAGGAATTGCTGCTGAAACATTAGCAAAGTTGACGGCGTTCAGATGGACTTTCAGCACTTTTTTTCCTTACTGTTGGTTTCCTAAGGACAGATCCGTGGTCCTTAAACCTTCCTTTCAAAGTATAATCCGCGTACAATGTAATGTGTAGCCTTGGCAAGAACTTGTATCTCTATTGCATACCCTAATACCGTAGATGTAAAAAAACAATATTAAATCTCCCGGAGGGCTGAAATAGTGTAACTTTATCTTGTATGGGGAGGTTATACTTGCAGTGTTGTGTATGTTAATATGCAGCTTTCCCTGTTTGTCAATGAGTACTTTCCATGTTTGTCATATCAACATTTTTGACTTGGGAATTTTTTTTTTTACTGGCTATGAATTTTCCTGCTTTGATGTGGAATAAATACCCAGTTATGAGATCTACAGTATAATTTTAAATAGAAGTAATAAATTTATGTTCTACTTTTTAAAAAAAAATAAATTGCAGATCATATTAAATTTTCAATACTGCAGTTAATGGAATGTTTCATTACTTGAACTGTTAAACAGGTAATTTATTCAAAGAGATTTTCAAGAACTCCATACAGGACTGCGGTTGAAAACCTATATTTATGGTTAGATCATGAAATCTAGATATTTTTATGAGTGAAGAAGGCTGTGGACATAGAATAGATCAAAATGAAGTGTCATTTTATGCTGATGCAACAATGGATACAGAGAAATAAGCTGTCTGCTATTTCTCCAGTGGTCAATGTGTGAATACGTATATATAAGTGTTGGGTGTATGTGAGAGAAATACTGAAGCATTAGCACATGCTATATATATGAAACCCTGCTGGAAATATCATTATCTTCTAAGAATGTAACTCTGTAGCTGGCCAAAAATGGCTTTAAGAGATTCAATAGCTAATAGACAATCCAGCACCCAGACGTCTCACAGAAAACCTTTGAAGAAATTCTGTCCATATCATATATCTGTTTCCTTGAATATATTTGGGAGGGTCTTTTCCTGACTACTTTCCCTGCATTTCAAATGAGCCTTTTTACTAATAATATCATAATCAACCCCAGATCAAGTGACGGATTGTACGCAGAAGTAAAAGCATGGCCAAAGTAAACATATTGATCCTGTATAGTAGCAGAGTGTTATGTATTCCCTATATACAACAAATAATAAATGTTATATGCTGCCACACAGAGGAATTTTCTTGGCTGTTTTTTTGGGGAGATGAGTTAAGTGGTTAAAATTGGTAAAGGAGCCTCAATAATGGATACATCTTGGTTTGTTCCTAGGCATGATGTTACAGAGGAGTTGGTTACTGGGGCTATTGATCTGTCTAGCTTTGTGTCTTTCGTCACAAGCTCAAGGTAAGTCTTTGAATTTCTGTATTCTGTACTGAATTTCTGCATTGTCTGAACAATTCAAAGCAGGCAGAAACGTCAGTAACTATGATAATATCTAATGAAACTGAGGCTGCAGTTGTGTGCACAAGACTTTGGCTTGCACTTAAGAATTCTTATTCAAGTATGTCTTTCCACTGCATGCCTAAAATATGAAATTGGAATAGGCCTGTCTCAAAAGATGTGGAGGCAGAGGAGGGGGGTCAAGAGATGGAGACATCTAGACAAGGAAGCTTTCTCCACTCTTACCTAACCACAATGCAGGCATGAAGTAATTAAAAGAACAATCTGCCATGTCCCCATGATGTTGCCTTCGCCAACTGATAAACAAAGCAGAGTAATTATAACTATAAACAACAACACATTTATGTGTGTACAATAGTAAACAATATCTGCTTATCCCAGGTCTTTGGGAAGTATTTGATAGATGGACAAAAATGCCAAATTCAGCCTAAACAACTGGCTGAACTGGGTGACCAAACTATAATAACAACAACAACAACTACAGTTGAGCCCAAACTAACTGTTGCTAAGATGTTAAGTGAGTTTTGCCCCATTTTATGACCTTTCTTGCCACAGTTATTAAGCGAATCCCTGCAGCTGTTAGGTTAGTAACATGATTGCTAAGTGAATCTGGCTTCTCCCTTGACACTGCTTGTCAGAAGGTTGCAAAAGGTGTTCACATGACCACAGAACCCTGCAATTGTCATAAATACATGCCAGTTGCCAAGGGCCTGAATTTTGATCACGTGACCCTGGGGACACTGCAATGGTCCCACATGTGAAAAACAGTCATAAGTCACTTTTTTCAATGCCATTCAAACAGTCACTAAATGAATGGTTCTAAGTCAAGGATCACCTGTAATTCATTAGACTTGTATGGCATGTGCTGCCTTGGCTAAATTGGTGTTGGGTTTTCCCCTCTTCTTCCAACCCCACCCAAGACCAGCCTCAAAGTCTACAAAATCTGCTAAGCTTCTCTGGCTAATTTTTGAGGGAAATCAAGTTGCTGCGGTGGCTTGAAAGAGTCCATAGAGGCAGAATAGAGACTGATGGATGTCATGCTGATGCATTTTTCTGCCAGCTTAAAAAGTGAGGGAGGGCACTTCAACTCAGCAGCAGGCAAAGGCCCAATGTTTAAAATGGGCCACTAACTTGGGTCAAACAGCTACCAAAATGTGAGTTTTAGACATCATCTTAATTTGTGATTAAAAGACCGCACCTCTTCCTCTTTCTCCTGAATTACTTGGCTAGTAAATGTATTTAGAAATTGATTCATTCTGAGAATTACGACTCTGCCAATTGTTTATAAAACAGCTCTAAATCTACCGGGGTTGCTAGGTTTTGCTAATGGGCTGCTCTTCTTTGAGAAGTTCCCAGGGGTGTCCTTGGCTTCAACAGATGCTGCAGTGTTGCATCTTTCCTGGCAGGCCAGTTGATTTGGCTTGAATTTTTATTCAGTTTCAATAAGCACATCTCTTTCATATACTTTAGCAAGAGACAGTAGCAGCTAGACAAAATCGTTTCATGCCAAAGAGCAGCAATTATTCATACTAAGCATGGAAGCATCCCATACAATGATGTCATACATGTCTTGATGTTATCATGCAGATGGTTGAAATGATATCATGATGATCTCAAGACACGAATGAGGCATTTAAACCACTCCATTCACATGAGAACCTCATGAAGTAGGAGTTGTCAATTCCATGGAAATACCCTGGAGGTTAATTCCACCTGAAAAGTAACCAAAGTTACTTTTAACATGCTTGGGTGGGTTTATACAGTGTCTTAAAACAGAGGTCCCCAACCTTTTGGGCACCAGGGACCGGTTCCGAGGAGAGAGGTTTTTCCATGGACTGGAGAGTGCATGGTTTTGTGTGCTGCCTGCATCTCGCAGATGGGGCTTTGCTTGTTTGTGTGGACCAGTTGTTGGCATGCCATGGCCCGGTACTGGTCTATGGACCAGGGGTTGGGGACCCCTGTCTTAAACCATATGTTGACCCTCTACTTCTGGACTATTCAGTAGACAAACTATAGCTTAGCATGCATTTTAATGTGTTTTAAGTCTGGAGCTTGAGCTATAGTATACTTGAGCAGGAGACTAACTTAAATGATACCCACTGATTAATTCCCTATTTATCTAATGTGAGCCATTGACAAGAGCAGAAGGTTTGGATCAGAAAGCCTTAATGAATGTTTTTTGTTTAGGTGGCTGAGGTTGAAAACAAACAAAACTCTCAGCCTAAATTTCCCAGTCTGTAAAGTTGAGCTACATATGTCCTACTTATAGTTTTTTTTATGAGAATGAGTGAGTAAATGGCTGCAAATTGCACTACAGGTAGTCCTTGACTTACAACCATTCCTTTAGTGACCATTTGAAGTTACAACAGTGCTGAAAAAAGGTGACTTGTGACACTGATAACCACTGCAGCATCCCCATAGTTGCATGATCAACAATTGAAAGCTCGGCAACTGGCGTGTATTTATGACCGTTGCAGTGTCCCGGGGGGGGTCATGTGATCTCCTTTTGTGACCTTCTGACAAGCAAAGTCAACAAGGAAGCCAGTTTCACTTGACAACTGTGTTACTAACTTTACAACTGCAGTGATTCACTTAACAACAGTGGCAAGAAAGGTCATAAAATGGGGCAAAATTCACTTAACGACTCTCTTGCTCAGCACTGGAAATTTAGGGCCTGACTGTGGTCGTAAGTTGGGGACTGCCTGTCTAATTTTTAAGAGCCATGGTAAATAATCACGCTAAAACTGTATCAGAGTGAAAGACGTATCGGACAGATGATAGTGAATTACTTTGGTCATTCCTTTGTTGTAACCATGTCACTGTTTGGCGGTGGCTTTACAGATGGTGAGAGAGAGGATGGGACCTCTTTTGACTTACTGAAAATCAGCAACATAAACAGAAAGACAATTGGAGCAAAACTATTTCGGGGCAACATATCTAACGTCCCAGCATATCGCTTCATCCGGTTTGATCGCATCCCTCCAGTTAATTCAGAGAAATTAAGACAAATTATTAAGCTGATGCAGCAAAATGAGGGCTTCATACTTACAGCCACCATGAGGCAGGATAGGAGTTCCAAAGGGACCATCCTTGCCTTGGAAGGTCCTGGCATCTTTCAACGGCAGTTTGAGATTGTTTCCAACGGTCAAGAAAATACGCTTGAACTTTCCTATTGGATTGATGGAGCCTGGAAACGGCATTCTTTGGAAGATGTGGAATTAGCTGATGTGCAGTGGAAGAATATCACGGTACAAGTTACAGGAGAAAACTACAGTATCTATGTTGGTTGTGACCTCATTGACAGTTTGACCCTGGAAGAACCTTTCTATGAATACCTGAAAGCAGAGAAAAGTAACATGTATGCGGTCAAGGGAGCTACACGAGAGAGCCACTTTCGGGTAGGTAACCTACAAGACAGATGGTCTATGAAGTAAAGGGCCTGCAGTGGAATGTTATTTATGTCTACTACTACTCAATTCATTGAGTCTTTTTCCCAGGGGAGGTGGCATGGGATGTTTACTTGGAATCTGAAAAATATGGTAAGTATCCTGGAGGTTGTAATTATTTAGATCATGGCTTGGTGGCCACTGAAAACTGCAGTCTCCTCCTCCTCCTCCTCCTCCTCCTCCTCCTCCTCCTCCTCCTCCTCCTGCCACAAAGCACTTGATTTATATGCAAGCTAGAAGTCACAGTGATTTTTGCAAGATTACTAATGAGTTAGCACTTTGGGGAGGAAAGGCTATAGGATTCAGTTCAGCCTTCTCCAAACTAGTGTCCTGGACTAAACTTCCAGAATTTACATCTTGCATAACTGGAGAAAACAATTTCTGAAGTAGCATATAAAACAGAAAATGACATATCCACTATTTCTAAACTATACTTTATCAGGTGAGCAAGGAAATAAGGTAAGATTGACCAGTTTGACCAACAATTTCCTGGTCTGTAGGATATCTTATTCTAGTCCTCCATGTCTAATCTTTTGAAACACAATCAACTTTGAGTTTAGCATCTCAAGGGTCTTAAATTCCTTAATTAACACTAAATTAGACAGTTTCTCCAGGATTGAGAACTTAATAATGAGCTCCATTTCTTGCAAGCTTATACTTTAACTTTTGAAATACTCCTTATGTAATTAACTAAAATGTTAATCAGATGAATTTCTGAAAGTCCATTAGGGTGTGTAGAATGTCTTTAGTGAACATAAAATAGCTATTC